CCAGAGAGGAGGACTCCCCCCAGCCCTCTCCCTGCCAGCAGCAGCGAGCTCTGGGGTAGGGACCCCCTTCTCCCCCCCTGGCAGCACACTCCTCCCCCCCCCGTCACTGCACATGCTTCTAGGGCCCCTCTCAGGTCCAGGAATCCCCCTTGCCTCCCCTGTGGTGGGTGACATGCTGGGGGGGCTGCCATCACATGTGCGCCTCCTCCCCTGCTGCTGCCCCTCACTGTAGCCTCACTGGCGGTGGAGGATGGGGCAAGAGTGATGACTGCGGGCAGGGGGGCGGCTGTACTGGTGGAGGGTCCCACCGGAAAATGAAAAGGTCTGAGGGAGAAGGGCAGCCTGCTTTGGCAGTAGTGGAGGGGAGCACTAGGACCATGCGGCGGCAGTTAATGCAGGCAGGCAGCATGGAGTTTCAGGGGAGAGACACTGAAGGGAGATGCACTGGGGCAGCAAAGGGGGGTCAGCCCACACTCAGGGGAGGCACGGGGGGCAGCAGGTGGGGCCAGCGGGGAGACCTGGCCCCGAACATTCATGGAGCCAGGCCCCCGGACCCTCAATATTGCTGGTTCCAGGAGGAGGAGTCAGAGAGGGGGAGAGTGCTCCATTTTCTTGCTGGTCCTCCGTACCGGCTCGTACCGGCTTACTTTCACCTCTGCATGGGAAGTACTGTATAAACTGGAGGCAATGAACTACCGTTGTCAGCATGTTCAGTTGCAGTTTGACAGTAATTACTGTCACAGTATTCCCCGTGTTGAGTATAGGATTAATGCTGTGGAAGGGGCAAAACTGCAAAGACGGAGATGGTCACCCTTGCATAATAACTGACTGTGTGGCATGGGGTTTACCTGACCAGCACTCCCATACGGCATTGGCAAGTGCAGCATATTGACCTGCTCCACATGTCTGGCAAAATTGAAGAGGCATCTCTGCAAACTGGGGGAGCAGAACAGAGGATCAAAAATTGAGCAGGTGGTAACCTTAACTTTGTGCATGCTGCTACAGATCACACAACTCAAAGAATAACCAGTAGTGTGGGAAGGAGGGGTGGAGAATCAGTCCACTGAAATGCTCTATTTAAATTACACACACATAAAAAATTTAGGGCTGTCAGTTAATTGCTGTTAACTCACGTGATTAACTCAAAACAATCGTGATTAATCGGACTGTTAAACAATAGAATACCAATTTAAATGTATTAAATATTTTTGGATGTTTTTCTACATTTTCAAATATATTGATTTCTGTTACAACATAGAATACGAAGTGTACAGTGCTCATTTTATATTATTTTTATGACAAATATTTGCACTGTAAAAATGATAAAAGAAATAGTATTTTTCAATTCACCTCATACAAGAACTGTAGGGCAATCTCTTTATCATGAAAGTGCAACTTATAAATGTAGATTTTTTTTTGTTACATAAGTGCTCTCAAAATCAAAACAATGTAAAACTTTAGAGTCTACAAGTCCACTCAGTCTTACCTCTTGTTCAGCCAATTGCTAAGACAAACAAGTTTGTTTACATTTACAGGAGATGCTTCTGCCTGCTTATTATTTACAATGTCACCTGAAAATGAGAACAGGTGTTCGCATGGCACTTTTGTAGCCGGCGTTGCAAAGTATTTATATGCTAGATATGCTGTACATTTGTATGCCTCTTCATGCGTCAGCCACGATTCCAGAGGATATACTTCCATGCTGATGATGCTCATTAAAAAATAATGCGTTAATTAAATTTGTGACTGAACTCCTTGGGGGAGAACTGTATGTCTTCAGCTCTGTTTTACCCGCATTCTGCCATATATTTCATGTTATAGTAGTCTCGGATGATTACCCAGCACATGTTCATATTAAGAACACTTTGACAGCAGATTTGATGAAATGCAAAGAAGATACCAACGTGAGATTTCTAAAAATAGCTACAGCACTCAACCAAAGGTTTCAGAATCAGAAGTGCCATCGAAAATCTGAGAGGGACGAGGTGTGGAACATGCTTTCAGAAGTCTTAAAGGAGCAACACTCAGATGCTGAAACTACAGAACCCGAACCACCAAAAAAGAAAATCAACCTTCTGCTGGTGGCATCTGATTCAGATAATGAAAATGAACATGCATCGGTCCACTCTGCTTTGGATCATTATCGAGCAGAACCCATCATCAGCATGGACGCATGTCCTATGGAATGGTGGTTGAAGATGAAGGAACATATGAATCTTTAGCACATCTGGCACGTAAATATCTTGCGACGTTGGCTACAACAGTGCTATGCAAACGCCTGTTCTCACTCTCAGGTGACGTTGTAAACAAGAAGCGGGCAGCATTATCTCCTGCAAATTGTAACCAAGTTTGTTTGTCTGAGTGATTGGCTGAAGTAGGACTGAGTGGACTTGTAGGCTCTAAAGTTTTACATTGTTTTATTTTTCAGTGCAGTTATTTTTTGTACATAATTCTACATTTGTAAGTTCTATTTCATGATAAAGAGATTGCACTACAGTACTTCTGTTAGGTGGATTGAAAAATAACATTTTTTTTACAGTGCAAATATTTGTAATCAAATATAAATATAAAGTGAGCACTATACACCTTGTATTATGTGTTGTAATTGAAATTAATATATTTGAAAATGTAGAAAACATCCAAAAATATTTAAATAAATGGTATTCCATTATTGTTTAACAATGCAATTATCACAATTAATTTTTTTAATCGCTTGACAGCCCTAATAAAAATCCTATTATCAGTGGATAACATGTGAAGTTTGCATTGTTCTGGATTGTTGTGATAGATGGACAAAATCAGGAAATTGTCTTGAGCCTTGGCTACACTTGCGAGTTGCAGCGCTGTAACTCACTCCCCGTCCACACTGGCAAGGCATTTGCAGTGCTGTATCTCCGTGGTTGCAGCGCTGCATGTACTCCACCTCTCCGAGAGGAATAGTGAGTGCAGCGCTGTCGCTGCAGCGCCAGTGTGGCCGCCCAATGCGCTGTGAATGGCCTCCAGAATTATTCGGCAGTATCCCACAATGCCTGTTCTAGCCACTCTGGTCATCAGTTCAAACTCTACTGCCCTGGCCTCGGTTAACCAACCATGTGACCGACCCTTTACATTCCCTGGGAATTTTAAAAATCCCCTTCCTGTTTGCTTAGCCCGGCGTGGCGTGGAGTGCTATCAGCGAATCTTTCCAGGTGACCATGCCTCCACGCGCCAAGCGAGCCCCAGCATGGAGCAATGGCGAGTTGCTGGACCTCATCAGTGTTTGGGGGGAGGAAGCTGTCCAGTCCCAGCTGCGCTCCAGCCGTAGGAATTACGATACCTTCGGGAAGGTATCAAAGGACATGATGGAAAGGGGCCATGACCGGTACGCCCTGCAGTGCAGGATTAAAGCCAAGGACCTGCGGAGTGCCTACCGCAAACCCCGCGACGCAAACGGCCGCTCGGGTGCTCCCCCCGCGCCCTGCCAATTCTACAAAGAGCTGGATGCGATACTTGGGGTTAACCCCA